ACCTACTTAGTGCACCATCTGGCAAAATGTGGGTGTGAGGAATGCGAGTCACAAACGAAATATTATTATTAGTCTCCCTGTGTCGTTGTGGGGTTTCCTCCGGGTACTCCTCAGTCCAAAAACACACTGAGGTTAGTTACCAAATTGCCCATAAGTGTGCCTTTGTGAGTGAATGGTGTGCGATTGTGCCCTGTGATGGGTTGGCGCCCCATCTTGGGTTGTTCCCTGCCTTACACCCATAGCCTCCGGGAATCTGGACCCCCCAGGACCCTGAATAGGACATGCGGTTACAGAAAATGGTTGGATGGATTTTATCATGATCATTTAAGATACACTTCTATTGGAATCTTGCGCAAATACTTCTCTCTATATGTTTTGTTGTGTATCTATGTCTGTATTCTCCTTGGGTTTCCTCCCACGGTACAATGACCTACAAATTGCCAGCAATCTATGATGTGTGTGAGTGTGTGTGTGTAGATTCTGACCCCCATCCTGGATGTATACCGTCCCAGTGCCCTGAGGTAACACTCAGGCCATGGAGACAGGGGCACCTTCGCTCCCGAGTGTGTGATGCCACCCAGGCCCTCACCCCCTGGTGCCCGGTGCCCTTCTCCTGCCTACGAGGACGGATCAGAGAACACAGCTATCAGAATGTTCTAGCACTCAGCATCATTTTAGCCCAGCGGCAGCAAAAGCCAGTGATGTTCAGGGCTGGGGCCGGTGCTGTGTGTTTGTCCAGAGGCTGTGTTTTATTTGGCCTAATAGCGAGGCAGATTGCTGCTGATGCTGACTCTCCCGGTAGATGAAGACTTCTGGATGCGAACAGGGTGGATGACAGAGTGTTTGATGACCAAACTACTTGGAAAAGGACTAGGGAAAGTTTAGCTTGATGCAGTTCAGGAGATTTGCTGACAGACACCCAAAAGCAACATTCCTGACCGGGCAGCAGGTAGCAGATGGGTTATGGATAAAGACTTGCGACTAATTCAAGGACGCGGCTTTGAGTGTAACGAGGGCTATCACCGAAGTGCTCTAAATCGCTCTGCTAGAAAGACTTACCGCATTGACAGGGTGGAAAGTCATCCCAGCTGACTTGTGCTAATGTAGCACGACAGTGTCAGTGCGAACTGGATCTTGTAAGCACTTAGGCGTCATTTAGCTCCATTGGGTCCCCAGGATGGACTGAGGCCTTGAAGCAGGGAGTCAGAGAGCGCGGTTCGTCCTTATTACAGAGGATATCTTGCTTATTTTCAGTGCCTGCTGCCTGTGGCCAGGCCAGCTGCACTCGGTGGTAAGGATCAAAATGCGGAGGAGGTACGGCTTTTTTGAAGAGGTCTGTGGAGGCTTGGTGGGGGGGGTGATGGTTGTGGGACATGGGCAGCTTTGCCAGGGCGGGCAGGGAACCGAGAGCTCTCAATTTAGGAAGCGGGAGTGGAAACCGGCCATTATGGGTGGAGGTTTGGTACGCAGGCTGGCGCGTGGCACGCACATGCCCTGGGGGCAGCGGGAAACCGGACAGCTCTGTGACAGACACAAAAAAAACACAAAGGTTCAACCTTTCAGTTACTGACGATGTAAATGAGGCATGTAGGAACACTGAGGCCTTCTGGGTAGAACTTCTGTTCCTTCACATAAAAAGCCACTGGTGTGTGACACAGACTGTTTTCAGACACGTCCATTTTCCATTAAAGACACAGAATTACTGCACTATTAAACACTTTAATTATTTCTCCATACTGTTCCATGCTACCACGAATACTGAAGCCGTGGGGGTTTATTAGCCTGTCCTGTGACAATATAGTCTGACTTTGAGCCTGGTTATTTTTCTGTTGTTTATGCTTTATACTGTGTTTCTGATTGGGTGGGTCATTTTCGCCCCCGAACAGAATGAACTTCTGCAGGATGGGGCCTCCCGCACTCCTCAGAGTCAGGCAAGGTGTCCCAAACGCCTACGGACACCTCACCACTATCACGGCCACTGAGGAGTGTTTTAACACAGCCGACACAGAATAGCCTATCCCAGGGTTTCTCAGCCTAATGTTTGCTGTCGTCTGGGGGTTCCTGAGGACAGGGTTGAGAAACACCAGTTTAGACAGATTAAAACCATGAATAAAAGCAGAACAGCATCATCTCTTTATTAGTGCACTGGCAGAGTGTGCATTAAAGAGGATGAGTCAGTTTATCTTATAACTTAACTAAGACTCTACACTATAAATACTCAAACTAATACACATTTCTGAATACTGGTTGTGCAAACTGCACTAGGTAGGTCTCTATATCAGCTGGACTGGGGAGAAACCCAATTTTATGTGTATAATGTGCTAAATCAAGCATTAAAATTTAGATAGCAGAATGTAATGTGGAAATTTTGACAACAGAACTTGGGCAGGCTTTGAAAACCTTCATTTGCGGAACTGTACTGTGTTTAACACTTCTTAAATGCGATACGTAATTGCTTCCCAGCGCGAACTTTGCTGGCGCATGCCCGATTATGCTTTAGCAAATACAGCCTGTGTTTTGTTTTCCAATAACGAACAATGTTTGTAGAAAGTCAGAATTGGCAAATATTTAAATGGAAAGCTTTTGTAGAGAATTAGAAGTGGGGGAAATGTGTGTATTATTAATTCTACACGATTTTCCATGCACACGGTTCAGTTTCTTCTTGCTTGTTGTTTACCGGGAATCTTAAGAATGCATTAGAGAGAGGGCTCCAGCTCAGACTGCCAAATCTGTACCGCTACGATAATGAACACAGTATGTGAAAGCGATCACCAGCGCAGGCTTTGGAAAACATTACTCAAAGATTTCCAGGGATTTTTTTATAATGCGAAATCCAGGGTGCTCATTTCTCCTGGTTCACCATACCTCCAGTTCTTCGAAAACACAGCAGAATGTGCAGAGAGTGGTAATTCCGCACCAATTCCCAAAGATCTGGACAAATGCACGGGCTGTCCATTGTACATTACATGGAAAACGATCCTCTTTTAATAGATCTTGAACCAAGAACTCCGGCTTTCAAAAGGACAACTAGGACACGCAGTGCCGACAACCAGCCTTTACGTTTGGAGGCGCCAAATCTTTGCTAATAAAAGTCTGCATTTGCAATTAGTAAATGAGCCGTTATTTCTAGCTGTTGGGCCACCAGTAAATAAGAATCACCTTGACATACACCCATTTCGGAAGCTATCGTCACAGGTCGATAAAAACACAAACTATACTTTTTTAAAAAATTGAACATTTGTTTCAAGGTCAACAGCTTTTTCTTAAATTTTGATAGGGTATTTTTGGTGATTCAGAGTCCATCAGCACCATCATAACATTGGAATAAACAAGGCATGTCAAATTTCAAAAGATATTACCAGGACAAAAAACTGTAGGATCTGCAGATATTCAGAATGCACAATAGAGACATTTTGCTCAGAAGACTAGTGGATAATGCTCTTACTTACGCTGCCCTTTGCCTGAGGTTATAACTGTCTACCTGTGTTGCATGTCTCCCCTCCTGTCCAAAGATGTGCAGTCAGAGTAACTGGCATCTCTACATAGCAAATAGGTTTCTGTATATGAGGCTGCTGTTCCGGCTAAGGTGGACACTAATCAGGATAATTATCTCAAGGAAGATAGTTTTATATGCTAGGAATTCATAAAAATGTTGTAGCTTTAAAAAGTTGTTTTGTTTTGGAAGCCTGTAACAATACGTGTCTTTAACTTAACATTTTTCTTTTAAAAAGCAATTTTCTCGTTTAAAATGCCGCGTAAGCTGTAATTAAAGATCACACTCTAGCGAAATCCCCGGGATGTGTGTGAGAATCGACGTCGTTCCCATGCAGGTTACGGCAGGATTGACGGTTCGCGTCTGGAGATACACGTGTTGTGCATTTGTAACTAATTAAAGTCAAACCGAAGTCGCTGAACGGCTGCGAATGTAAAACTCGTCAAAGACGTTTGGGAAACAATAAAAACGCGTCTGTCTCGTTTAAGGGTAACAAAAAAGTAATTGCATCTGGCAGATTTAACAACAGGAGTGGACAGATCAGGAGTGGAAAATTAGTTTTTTAAAATAATAATAAATAAAGTACTTATGTGAATGCTACCATCATTCTGTCACAGTGGTGGGTTGAAGAAGGGTTGAACTACATATTTTAGCAGTAAATCCTCCTGTAAGGTTTCATGCAAAATTAACTCGATGTGCCCCCTAGCTACAAACAGCACACTTATACGCAACATGTATTATTTTATAGGTTACATGGTGGTTATTAAAATAATACTCTACTGTTGTGAGCTTTCTACCCCAGGGCACCGACCTGCAGAATGTTAGTAACATATTTATTAAATAAAAGGAGTACGTTTGGCTTTCGAATGGAAACCTTAGACAAAATCGTGGTCGAGCTCATTTTATATAACCAGGCAATGGGGCGACTGTTAATTATCACGAATCAGTCCCGCGGAGACATGCGTGTCTGTTATTCGTAAAAAGGCAAAAACATAGAAAACGAAATTTGATTATATCCACAGAAAAACATGATTCTAAAAATAATATCCGATCGACTAGCCTATATACTTAACTATTTTGTTATTTTTAAAATAAAAGTTAGGTATGTCTGTATTTCAGCTGTAACAGGGGTTTAAATCCAAAACGAGAAACGGCACTATGTGACAGGAATTATGTTACGTATTATAGCCTTATGTTAATATGTTAATGTTGCTTTTCACGAGAAAAGTTATCCAGTTAGGCTACTATAAGACTGAAGTAACTGGCTTCCTCTTACTAGAAAATTTAAGAAATCAAAGTAGAACAATTACATGCATAATAAAGAAACGATCACACTACAGTAATATATTTTATTGTTAATTCGCTAAGATATTATTTGAGGAAGTTCCCCTTCTAGTTAAGTGTAAAATAACGACGTTTCAATTGCTAAGGTAAGCCAATGTAAAAATCAGTGTTTTTATTAACTGACACCCACTGTGAAATCTGTCAATAATGTTTTATCTGATGATTTTGCAAAAAATAAACTTTAATGTGAAGCCTGATATGAGGTCAAAACGACTTTTCATAACACAGAACATCTGCCCACTTAGAACCACTTTATGGCGGATAGATATAAACTGTAGAGGAAAACTCCGGTTGCCTTTCCGAGGACCGGACTGGTTATATACCAGTAGGCTACCAAGCGCGATAAAGTGCACATCTAATCTGTTAACAAGATGGTTACGTTTTACCAGTTTTCTGAATTAATTGTGCCACACAAAATAGACACGATAAGTAATTCCTTGGAATGGGAGAATTTAGTGCGTTTCCTGGCAAAAAAGCACAATACGCCCGAAACCTCAGCAGCCGCGGAGAGCAGCGCGTCTCGGTCCGATCCTCCGCTCAATCCACGCCGCGTTTTCCCGATTTCCCTCCAGAGTCTCGCCGCTTTTCGCTGTGGAGTCGCTGTGTATATATGGTCTATGCGCCGCAGCTTTGCTTCTGGGAGAGCATTCAACGCCCTGGACAGGTGGAGGAGGTGATGCAAACAGGTTAATACTTTGAGGAATAAGTTAACGTCGGCCCCCCCCAATTCTCTCATTTAAAAAGCCTCGGATTTTAAATGCATATCTAACTACGTTAATCAGTCTATTTTCTCCCCCCCCCCGTTAGTCTAGTGTGTCGTACTGCAGATTGAATGTTGAATTAATAATCCCGATACCTACAGCACAGGTAAGTTTTTATATACCGTATATTGAATTGTGAAACGTGTAGACTGATTATTTAAAGGCGAGATATTTTCTCAAATGTTAAGAAATGATTGATTTTGAAAGCCAGTTGAAATTAGCATTATATAGGTGACTTGAGTTTACAGTTTCAACCGAATTATGTTTTAGGCATTTTGTTTAATCTTTAATGTTTATTTTAAGTAGCTATAATAATCATACAATAAGGCCCGTACTATTGTTATTAACGTGTTTAGTTAAAGCCAATAATAATAATAATATTAAGATGTCATAATACAAGGTAATTCATTTTTTTTTATTCCAAAAATGCTCTAAAACTTTTAAACTTGAACATTTGTCAATATTTCTACATTTGCAACTTACTTTTAAAATAAGATCATGTCAGCATTTATTTCTGCCATCTTTTTAGAAGCTTAATTTATTCCACGATGTTTGTGGCGACTCAAGACCATCAGGAAGAGTTTTATTAATTTAAGTTTCCTCTGCAAATCACATGTGTTTGGTAATTAATTCAAACACAAATCCCATTTGGCGCACCAACAAGCTAAATGAGACGAACGCTCAGGTATTTACCCTCCGTAGGAGGAAATAGAATCTTCAATGATACGTCTGGTGTGGTTAATACATTTGAAGTAGAAAATAGAGGCTTATAGCTGAAAATGAAAAATGTAATTGTTTTAAGAACTAGAAATGTGCGTAACTGACCTCTTGTCAGAACCATATACTTAAATTGTAGAGTCCAGTAAAGTTACGTTGCTGTTCGGCCCTCCTGCGTTCATTTGGCCATCGGAGCCCGTATCTGCGTGCCTGATGTAATTGTCCAAGCTGACAGTCTGTGAACAGAGATGCAGATCAGAGGCGGGTATGAAGGCAGCACATGGGCCTCTTTCTGGAAAAGAGGCTGTTGCTGACTGTTGCACAACAGGCTGATTGCAGCTGCTTGCAAGACTTCAGCGATTATGATCAAACATAAGCTCAGGAATGGTCCTCACCCTTAAACAATTAACTCACTTCAAGGAATTCCCTCTGGCAAGAGTGAGCTGGGGGTGTGTGCCCTGTCCTGTATCGGAGAGGGTGACCTAAATATTCTTTCAGTCAAGCAGTTGTTAAGGGTAATTTGGAGGGAAAATGTGATTGGTTTGGCTATTTTTATCATACCAATTCTGCTGAAGACTCGGTACTTGCCATACGCCCTCCTAAACCTTGATCCTGCCAGATCTGTGTATAATTTCAGGTCTTCTACTGTTTTGAATCTAACAGCCTTGTTACTGACAGATAGAATGCTGACTTTAAATCAGGGAAATAATTGGCTTCTACAAGTTGAGGGCAGAATGAACCTGTGCATTCTCTAGATTCCTGAGAACAGGCTTGGAACCTCATTCTTTTTAAATTGGTTCTTGCTTTTAGTTAAATAATTGACTTTGAGCTGAAACGAGGCTCTGAGGTGCTGCCGTTTGCTGCTTCACGTTTCTTCTTGTTTCCTCCAGCTTCACTCGGGCAATGAGCTCTCTGCTGCTGTCCAACTGCACCATGAAGGACTGTGAATCCGTTCTCCACTACTCCGCACCAGGCAAGGCCAGCGTCCAGTTCTCCTCCGCTCTCCACTCCCAACCCAAGTCCCAGACGTTCAGCCTACAGTCAGGGCCACACCTGCTGGCCAGCATGCAGCTTCAGAAGCTCAACAGCCACTACCAGAACCTGACGGTGGCCTCCACCCCCGGTAGTGGACCCACCCGGGGCTGCAGCACAGTGTCCGCAGGTGCCGGGCAGCCGATCTCCGCGGGCACGGGCCAATCTCCCAGCATTTTTGATTCTGACCCTGTGGATGAAGAGGTCCTGATGTCCCTGGTGGTCGAGCTGGGCTTGGATCAGGCTAACGAGCTGCCGGAGTTATGGTTGGGCCAGAACGAGTTTGACTTCATTTCCGACGTTTCTGCCGGCCGCTGACCAGCTATGACGCACACTAACACAGCATTTAAGGAATACAGAATCCTTTTTCTTTGAAGTGTCTTTTTGTGACCAGGGCTTGTGCTGGCCTTGACAGAGCCTCCCTCTGCATTGTAAAGCCGTTTCTCCTTATTTTAAGTTCAAGGTGACGCTCGGATAACTTGGTGGTCTTGTGAACTTTGGAATCTCGCCATGACTTGACGTTGCCTTCAAGCTGAAAAGCCAAAGGGAGGATTGCAAACTACTTTATTTGACAACCTGTTTGGTTTATTTTCTTTGGATTTAGTGTTTTTTGTTTTTTTTTTTAATTATTAAAAATCTATCTACGGCTCAGAGTCTCTCCTATGTTGAATATGCAAGGTTTTCCAGCAAACTGACTGAAAACAGACTCTTTGACATTTTTTCAGCTAAGTCGAGGAGGCAGCTCTACAAATAGCCTTTTGACGACAAACTGCTTCACCTGACCCCCTGGTCTGGATGGCCGCAGTTCTTTCTTCCCGGGCCTTATTGTGGCAGGCAGTGTGCTGTTACAGCCCAGTAACTGAAGGAGACCCTGAATGCAGGCCTGTCCTGAATGCAGGCCTGTCCCGGCTTGGTCCCGTCCACCACTGTCCAGCTCCGCCCCCTCAGTGTGTGATCAGAGCGATCTGATCTGTAAGGAAACATGGCTATTTTTTATAACAAAAGCTTTATGTGGCTAGTGGGTTAATTTTTCCTGCTTTCTCTGAGAATAATTTTGGTATAAGCTGCCTTTAAATGTGTATATATGAGAATTGTCAAAGACCTTTTTGGAAAGGTAAAAAATGACAAAGCATTGCAGGTTTCATGTTGAGTTTTGGTGCTGGATCTCTATAAAAGCTTTGGACTAACGTACGGCTGAAGTCTCCCCACCTTCAGTTTTCAGCAACATCACCTTTTCGGAGGGGGTTGTAAACACACGCTGGGGGAACACTTTTTTTTTTTTTCTGGACAGATGTTGGAAAAACATCAAGCTGCTGTAGTTGCTGGATGGGAACGGGAAGGCCTCCATTGGAAAGCAAGCCTGTGAAGTCATGTTTGCATCTAGTAAATATAAACCTTTTGTTAAACCGTTAATCTGTTTATCATTTCAATCCAGATCTTTGTTTTTCTAAGCACTTATGGTCCACAGTCAAGGACACAACCATACAATTGTATATTTTTTCTGCACATTTTGAAATAAATTCTGGAATGAAAGTTGTTTGTTTTTAATGATAAATTAACTATGAAATAAGAACATCTTTTTTTTTTAAGAGTAAGTCTCTAAAATCTCTAAAAAACATTAATTTTCGCTATAGTACTAGTAGTAAAGAAACAATTGTTTGTTACGTATGTTTTCTGTCAAATAACCGCTGTTGGATGGAACATCTAGCTCCTATTGTCTATAACAAGGCTGTTTAATTGTGCTCATACACTGCTCATACATATTTCAGATTTTTGTGTTCTCTCTAACCCAGTTCAGGTCCCGTGGAACAAGACTTACACAGATGCTATACCTATCCAGAGAGCAGAAACGTCCCGGTACCTCTCCGTACACCGATCTTAGCTTTTCCACGATTTTCGCTAGAGTTGAATTTCGGCTTTTATTATACTGCCATCTAGTGGCTCTTTCGTAGCGACATGCGAATACTTCGCAAACTTAAATTTGACATCAGTTTTAACATCAGTGCCGAGAGAATGATAGTTAATTGCATTGTCTTGCAGCAAATATATACTCACTGTCAAATATGATCCACACAAACAGTCTTAAATAATTTTTCTGTGTGGATGACTAGCTGAAATATTAGAGTTCTCAAACAGCATGCACGATAGTCGGATCAATGTCTTCATCCTCCAGTTTTTGAGGATTTCCCTTTGGGATCAATAAATTTTATCTCAGTCTACAAAACTAACTAGTTATGAAGTTCTTTTACTAACATTGTATTTGTCAGATGCTTTTGTCCAAAGAAAGCGACAAGTGAGAATTGGGGCCAGACGACCCCTGGACCAATCAGAGTTAACGGTCCCAGTAGCATCGGACCCCCACCCATCACAGGACTGGAGAAAATAACATCCCCAGAATGGGCACGAGTTCTACCCCACAAACGCACGTCACCCTGTTTATCTGGCTGATGCATGCAAGCAACCCATACATCCATCCATGTCATAAGGAGTTTCACACTGGGGGAGACCGAACTTGCCCCAGTGGCAGGGGGGGGTATATTGTGACATTACTATGAGCACACCTGTAAGAGTCACACTATGAAAGGATATGATGCAAGAAAGATTTTAAAATAATTTTAAAGATTCGATTATTTAAAATAAGACTAATGTTACAGTGTATCTTCTAAACACAGCTAAAAAAAATAATTCGTAAAACGAGCTTGTCTGATATAGGTCTTCAGTCTTTGTCGGGTATAGGTTTTATCGCTTTCTGCATGCGCAGCGAATTGGCCTCAGTAACACGCAGATTCATAGTGAAAGATATGGAAAGCGCTCATTTATTTATGGAGAGGGGGCTGCGGATATTAAGGGGGGGGGAGGAGGTCCATCCAATCTGCAACACCCCTGCATCCATCCATCATCTCATATCCCCAGGTTACCTCTAAGTTCAGATAAACATATGGCAGTGAAAATATTGAAAATCTATGCCTGTTTTTGCTTGATATGCCTGATCTTAGTGGTTCTTCAAATAAGTTACCAAGTTCATCCATCTTCCAACCATTTACCATGGGCAGGGATACGTGGAGCTCATCCCATGAGGCACACCCTCACAGTCATAAACTATGGGCAACTACAAGCGTGGAACCAATCTCTTTGGACTGCAGGCAGAAACTCACACAGAGTGGGGAGGGGGGGGGGGACTCCAAAGGGAAGGTGGGGTCCAGACCCCGTCACTGAAGGTATGAGACAGTACTGCTGATATTTAATTTACTCTGACATACAGACCAGTGTATTTGTGCTGTAATACGTGCAGTGATTCTGCCATTCTGTCAGTACAAAAGGCGATGAGTATGTTCTGGGATGGGTTCTAGTCTTTTACTCCTGAGTGAGCAGGTTACCATAAACAGCAATAATGCTGGGTGGCAGGGAGGCTTAGTGGGCAGCACTGCCATTTTACACCACCAGGGGTGCAGGTTCTAATCCCACCTTTGGCATGCGTGGAGTAAACATATGTGCCCATGTGGATATCCTCCTGCAGACAGTACTGCTGGAGCAACTCGGGCTAAGGGCCTCGTTCAAGGACCCAATGATCACATCATTTTGCCAGCCAAGGGATTTAAGCTGATGACCTTCTGGTCATGGAAACAGAGTCCTAACCCAAAGAGCCACACGCCATCACTTCACCTTCACTTTTAAGGTAGTTACATAATGAGTTAAGGGCCACTATCCATGACACTTTATTTAGTGCAGGGTTTCAAAAAACACACAGAGCACAAGGCAGGGGACACTGTGGGGAGGATGCAGGAACCCTGAAGTATGCACTATTGCTATAAAATGTCTGAAAAATGGTACCCCAAGTTAGAAACAACATTAATGTACTCTCGATCGTACAAAAATGTTCCTCGGGGTCTATTCCTGTTCCCTAAAAGGTACACTTGTCTACAGCTAGGGTACAATTGGCAAACCCTTGCATGTACAGCCCCAATGACAAGTAACTGTACCCACAAATGCTTTTTCCTGACACTGTGCTATGGACAAGATTACAGTTTCTCGATTGCTTTCGCACATTTCACGAAACAGCTCACAAAAAGCATTTCTCAGAATAGTTTATGCATGTCACATAACACTGTGGATTAGCTACAAAAGGTTGTATCTGACCAAAGACAATTAGTTTTTGTCAGTTGCTTGGACACATTTTGTGAAAGATAACATTCTCAAGACTATAAGACTGTATTTCTCAAAACAGTTCATGCATACAGCACAACAATGTGGTTTAGATGCAAAATCCCAAAACAAAACTTACCCAAAACAATTAACTCATTTCTCAAAAGCAAATAATTCCACCAGTGAATTAGTCACCAAAATGAAAAGTACAATCATCATCGTTCTAACCACGAGAGTCAAAAAGCTTAGATCAGGGGTGGCCAATCTTATCCGCAAAGGACCGGTGTGTTTCCGGGTTTTCGCAGCAACTCCCTAATTAGATTACTAATTAGAGGACTGATTGGCTGAAGAGTCCTCACACCTGGGTTTCAACAGCTGACCTACAGGTTATCCCAAAAACCCGCATACACACTGGCCCTATGCGGATAAAATTGGCCACCCCTGATCTAGTGTAAGCATACTCCTGAGCTCCACAATTCTGAATGATAGTCGGTTTTCACTTTCTCATTGTCACTGACTGATCGTTTTTCATTTGCAAACTAATACCCATTCATGTCAAAGAACATTACAGTACAGTATGTACAGTTCACCGGCAAGAGGAAGCACACGCGTGCACGTGTAACTTCAGATCTCAAGACACAGTACAATAGCAAACAAGTCACACAGCACCGTATAACACAAAAACAGCAAGCAACACAGGAACAACAAAATGACAACAAAATCATGCAGGCCTACTGCGGGAACCAGAGACGCAACAATGCATGAAATGTATTTAAAAATCATTTTGAAAGCTTGGTTAACTGTTTTGCTAATCGTAATATACTGATGACACGCATATATAATTTTAGATGTGAAATTATTACAGTGGGAAACTTTATAATGTTATTTGACCAATAAAACTGAAGCAACCGAAAATTGTGCCAAATGATGACAACCGTACAAAACCATTTGCATACATGTACTAAAACATCTGGAAATGTGCATGAAACAATGAGAAATGACGTTCTGCTGTGCAGAAGTGAGATATGGTACGTGTGGGGATTACATTTGTTGTTTTGCAAATGTTAATTGTCATTTGAGTAATGCACTAAAGCACTCGTGTGAAAAACTGTAATATACAAGTGGAACTTTCGTTTCCTTTTATAACCAGATGCCTTATTTTTATTATTATAAAACATGACCCATCACACAAATCCTGTCACACTACATTTTGCGATGGTGTTTAATGTCGATGTGCAGATGCAAAAGAAAAAACTTTTTTTTTTGTAAAAAAAAAAAAAACAAAAAAACTCAAACACTGTAACACCGCTATACCTTTTAAATTACAGTATATTGGTTAAATAGAAAATACCGTATACCTTCATGGGATAATATTTTTTCGCATCGCATGAAAACCCATGAGGTCACCTACCTAAGATGAAATCGCCATACAATACTGATCATCAAGGGATTTTAACACCTAGTCCTAGTAGAAATACATATTTCATAATATATTTTATCGGTACTCGCAGTAAAGCATTCATAGCATCGTCTATAATTCCGACCCTATTGGCCCTCTCCGGCACCCGTCCGCTTCCGCGTTTCTCTTTTCACGTCCTACGCTGTGACGTCCCTTTTCCTGCTGTCTTCGCCATGGTGAGTACATTTTTGTTGCCTTCCGACCCTGAATTTAGCACAAAACATCGTCTTTTCTATAGACGATAATGCATTTCATTATTTAATTATAGCATATTCAAACCATAACGAAATTATATTTTATTATATTTTTCTAAACCCCTGTATATTACAATATTTAGTCACATTAGCAACTTGTAGCTAATGTAATTCTCTTGGTATTTTAACACTCCATAGTTCAGTGCTTTTGCTTTTGTAAAATTGTATTTAATGTATTTTATGTGCCAAATAAACCGACTTTGGAAAACCATTTTATACCGTTTATTCTTAAAGTGTTCGTAATTGTTTATCCGTTTTAAGTTAATATGGTTAACAGGTCCATGCCGCTACTGACAAGAGTTAGCAGCCAACAAGCACAGGCTGGACTTTCCTAGAAATGCTTTTGGACGCGATGTCGGACCGTTTCCCCCTCGCTATTGCGATGCTAACTCGCGTGCGTAGCAGTCAGTGATCTTTTATTATCTGGTCTCACTAGGCTCGAGGACCGAAAAAGCACCTCAAGCGCGTGGCAGCGCCGAAGCATTGGATGCTGGACAAGCTCACCGGGGTGTTTGTAAGTTTGATTTGGTTTAGTTTGGATTTTTATGCGGCAGACCGTTGTAAAAATGCTCCAGGGCGCCGAAAGGATAGCCGATCCTGCGCTCAGACCCCAGGCTTTGATCTCACTTCTGCATGTGTGTATGCCTTCAAAAACGGGGAGACCATGATGGGATATGTGGAAGAAATATTCCAGTGTATCTGTTCTCGTGCCAGTGGCTAATAAAGTTTCATTTTCCCACGTCATTTCATTCTGTCATTCAGATGATTAGTTGAATTTGCTTGTTGCCGTCTGTTAGACATCTGCTGTGAGTTCTCCCTTGGAGGTCTTGCTTCTGAGGACCGTTTCCCCGTTCCCAGGCTCCTCGGCCGTCCACTGGTCCCCACAAGCTGAGGGAGTGCCTGCCCCTCATCATCTTCCTGAGGAATCGGCTGAAGTACGCTCTGACTGGAGATGAGGTTAAGAAAATCTGCATGCAGAGATTTATTAAGATCGACGGCAAGGTCCGCACTGACATCACCTACCCCGCTGGCTTCATGGGTGAGTCCTGGGGCCATGGCTTCTGTCCTTGCCTTAACACTGAAGCCTGACAGTTGATTTGAACCTTGGTAGTTTTATGTCCACAAGCCCAAACGTTTCACCATTTTAGGGATGGCAGCGACCCTCTGACCTGGTGGTGGTGTTCGGCTCAGTGGGTTAGATGTTGTTCATGTAACCAGAAGGTCGTCACTTTAAATCCCACAGTCAGCAGAGTGTTGTCAGCACTGGGTCCTTGAGCAAGGCCCTTAACCCCATTCGCTTCAGGGACTGTCTGATTTTCTCAAATCTGTGTTGTTTTCAATAAAAGCGTTAGATAACTAATGTAGATGTGTCTATACTGGGGATGGACTGCAGTGCAGTGTATGGGGTTTGGCTCAGTCCCAGGGAGAGCCAGTCCTCTGGGTGTTAGGGTCAGTGTGCTGATGGGCTAATCTGTGAAATTCAAGTGCATTACTTTATACTTTATTCCACATGTCTGAAGCCCAATGGCAGATACACCCGAGATGTATAGTTAGGCAAACCATTTAAGAATCTGACCCAGTCCCCGGTTACCTCAGTGATTTAAGTGATGCACTGTGCACCTTCATAAGACAGCGTTGTAATTGGAAAATCCTGGGCGAACTGTTGTAAATGTAAGTGTTGTCGTGACGGCAGAGTTGCGATAGGCAGTGAGCCTTCACCCCAGCTGGTAAATGGAGAGCGTTCAGGTTGTGTTCAGGTCCATGCTGAAAGTTTTGTTCAAACTGTGAATCTGGATGACTGGCCATCAGTCATAAAAAAGGTATACAGTGGTACCTCGGTTCTCGAACTCACTAGAACTCGAATTTCTTGGAAGTCATAACAAACCAGTTTGACCTAGAACTCGATCTGAATATCAGAAGTTGAACCGTGAACGCTGACCTAATAAATTGCCGGGTGAGAGGTCGCAATGCATCTAATCGTAATGCATTGCGTCAGGATCAGAATGCGTTGCTTTAAGCCAGCGCTGTAAGCAAGTCGAACGCACCCAGTGACCGGACAGGGGAAACAAACTGAAACGTGGACTTAATGCAGAGGACTAATGACAACAACCAGAAACAGCTGACCACACGAGGTTAACGAGGGGGCGTGGCACACGGAAGGAGCGGACGAACGGGGCAGGACAGGGGTAATGTAGTGACAAGATCTTTATCGTTTTGGAAGCCATTAAGAAAAAAAAATGCTGCTCTTGTTTTATCCTGTTCATTTTGTGTTTAAATGCTTAAAAAAAAAAACATATTTAGGTGTAATTTTTTTGGGGCCGGGAACCAATTAATTGGTTTTCCATTATTTCTTATGGGAAAAATTCGATCAGAACTCGAACTTTTTAGGATTCGATCCGGAGTCCGGAACGGATTAAGTTTGAGAACCGAGGTACTACTGTAGTATAAACCAGGACTGCACGAAGTTTGTGTCTTTCTCAGATTGGAGTGCAGAGTGGAACGAGTGAGTGTGTTTTGACTTGGGTGGAACCTAAATTCACAATTAAATGTTCAACATGCAGGGCTTAAAGTATTCCGGCACCGTGCCGTTTCTGCGTGCGGCCGTGAGGGAAAAAAATAATAATATTTTAGAGCCTGCGCATGCGGTTTAATATTTTCGAGCCAATTTATTTCACCTACCAATCATATGAGAGGAACGCAGCTTTAACTAACGTTACAAGCCTATCAGAAGCAGAGAAGGGCGGGTCCTTGCAACACGGTATGATTGACACCCATACGTCAATGTCACGTTAGCGTTGTCGGAGAAAAAAAAATGGAGCGCAAGTTTATGAAGCCTGGGGATGATGTCCTAGCAATAGATAAAGGACTCAAAAATAAATGGTGCTGGGTGTGGATTGAAGAAAGTATAGATGGCGAGCCTTTTGGCAGTTGGTGCAAGAAACTGAGAGAGCCCGGGGCTTGTTTCTGCACGATTTGCTCGAGGAAGCTACTGTATGCCAGCAGCGCTAAGAAAGTGCTTGCTTGTCATGATTTAGACTCCGGTCATGGAGCCACTGCCCGTGCACTCAAACTTACCACGACGTTGCCGGGAGCAACTGTTACAGCTGACACACCGTTGTCTATGACTGACCGTGTCTGCGATTTAAAAATACGTTTGTGCACATTTATAGCAGAACATGATTTGTCATTCAGAATTTCGCATCCACTGGTCACCCTGTGTAAAAAACTGGCAGAAGACAAAAAAGCATTAACTAGCCTGTCGGTTTCAAATCAACATGCGAGTTACATGAACAAATGTCTTAAAAAGAAAGAGTTTGTAGGACTTTGCTTACAACGCAGAAAAAAAGAAAAAATAAGTGATCTCACTTCAAATCTTCAGTTTAGCAGTTCAGTTCTTTAGCACTTTGAGCACTTGTTATTTAAGCACTTTAAGCACTTGCTATTGTTTAGCAGTTTTTTTTTTTACTTTGTTTTTGTTATTATTGTCAATATTTGAAGTAAGTCCTTCAAATAAAAAAGTCCCCCCAAAAAAAAGTTCAGGCTCAGGATTTTTTTTTTTTTTACTTTAACCCCTGAACATGGAAATTGCGGCTAATGCTGGTTAATCAGCTGTAATGGCAACGCAGGAGCCAGAAGACCCTCCTCATCACTTAGTAGTTTAGGAACATTTTGGTTTATCAATCAATTACATCAACACAGAGTGAGTAGTTAAGACCAAGACTCTCTGTGTTGCTGGAAACACACCCAGCATGTTAATTCATCTGATGATCATCTGCATGTATGAAGGACTGGAGCAAAAGGCAGAAACGACGTCTGCAAGTTAGTCTCCCTGTGGTGTTTAAGGCACTTCTGCCAGGAAACTGTGCACAATTACATGCTTAGTAAAAATCTGTTTTACAGAACGGCCTCCTAAGCAAAGTCGGTGCTTAAATGCCATAATTTATTTCCCACTTTTTCTCGGTGGCTTTTGAGTTGGGGTTACACAGATTAATAACAAGGGATGGCTAGGGGGCTGATGGTTTATGGTGCTGTGGGTTAGGATCACGTCCTTGTGAACAGAAGGTTGTCTGTTCAAATCCCATGGCTGCCTGAGTGATTTTTCCTTATGGGCAATTGAACAAATCCCTTATCCTCTGGTCCTCACTTGGACTTTGCTGTGGACAAAATTGTCTGTTAAATAAATGAACGTTAATGAATAGAAGGCAGTATCCAGACTCATTTCCAGTGTGTGTTTCCTGTGCGGGGGGTGTGCTTGATGTCTTGAATAATGTTCATTAGTAGTACAGCCTTGTTGGTGACCTTACACGCATACGTTTTGGCCTCAGATGTGATTAGCATCGAGAAGACTGGAGAGCACTTCCGTCTCATCTACGACGTCAAGGGTCGCTTCGCCGTCCATCGCATCACGGCAGAGGAATCCAAGGTGGGTCCTGAGCCTGAGGGATCACTGTGGCGTTTGGTTTGTGGTAGCTGATGGTGTGTGTGCTAAAATTCTGATGTGATCTTTCCCTTAAGTACAAACTTTGCAAGGTGAGGAAGATCCTCATCCGTAACAAGGGGATCCCCCACCTGGTCACCCATGATGCCCGCACCATCCGCTACCCAGACCCCCTCATCAAGGTCAACGACACCGTGCGCATTGACCTAGAGACCGGCAAGATCACAGATTTCATCAAGTTTGACACAGGTAAAGGCCGTTCCTGGGTTATTGGTGGCCCTGAAGTCTGTAGGATTCTCTCACGAAGTGGTCTCGCTTTGGTCTGTGGAAATCTTGCGTGTCCTGACCGGAATTTTGTTTCAAAAGCCAGTTGAGCAGAAACAGTCACAGTCAGAGAACTCAGCTGGTTAGTTGAAACAAAATCCCAGTCTGGACTTTTACTCTCTGGACCTGAATTATGCTGAACTCTACTTACCAGCTAGTCGGCTGTCTGCTGTGACCTCCATCTTCCCGGCTTACTTGCATTTGGAACTGAACCTGTTTATCTCTGCAGGCAATATGTGCGTGGTGACTGGCGGCGCCAACTTGGGGCGTATCGGGGTGATCACCAACCGCGAGAGGCACCCTGGGTCCTTCGATGTGGTCCACGTCAAGGACAGCACCGGCAACACCTTCGCCACCCGGCTCTCCAACATCTTCGTCATTGGCAAGGTAAGAGCCACCCCTAGAACCTCTGGCTGTTTTTACACTTATGTAAAACCCAGTCAATTATCCTCAGACGCAACAAGCTATCAGGATGTGCTTCACAGAAAATCTTCCAGGGAGCAGTTTTTGTACCCAGCAGAAATGTTAGCTGTCCCAAACTTCGTTGCATTTAGTTTATAATTGTGCTTCTCTAAACTAACATTAATCTGGGAAAAAACTTTTTTGTGGTTTCTGTTGTTAATATAAGTTGCTGCTTAGCTGAACTTGAAAGTGAAAGCTATGCTTTCCTGGTTAAATAGGGATACCTGCGTAGACTCCAGGTTTTTGTGTGAAACTTTCAGAAGCAATCACACACTGATAACTAAGAGAATATTAAAGTAACGGCTGAACAGTGGAGTTTAAACAGTGGCCAATAAGTGTTGCGTGTGCCCATCTGCACAGGAGTGACATTGAATGAAACGATACTGAATTCTGTGTAAATATCAATGCATGTTTTACTAGTGCCCACCATAAATGTGTTCTCTACATGCATGATGCAATGTGTGCTTTGTGGAGGTCACTGATGGCACGTCCCGCGTTCTGCACTTTCGCTCCCTCTCCCTGCCCCTTCTCCCAGGGCACAAAGCCATGGGTCTCCCTGCCCCGCGGTAAGGGAATCCGCCTGACCATCGCCGAGGAGAGAGACAAGAGGCTGGCCGCCAAGCAGGGGAGCAGCTGAGCTCCATGGAGAATGAGGAATCTGCAGAATTGATTTCAAATAAAATGTTATTTACAAAAAAAAAACAAGTGTCGTGTTATTCAAAGGGCTTGGAGGTGTTTAATGATTTAGCCTGGAACTGGATTAAGCTTCAAATGGAGAGAAATTCCCCTGAAAGTTTTATAGTCACATCTCTTGCTGAATTTAAATGTCCTTTCTTACCGTGGTGGTAAATAAATTGTTCTCATAGTGAGCAAGATGCCATTAAAATGTCTGTCATGGACTTGGTCTGAATAGTTTATAAAGCCAGCTACAGGTATTTGCTGGCAGTAGAATGATGTGGTTAGTCACTTTGGTAGTCTTACTTTATGCAGTCTTATGAGTACCTTTGGTTAATTGGGTACTGATTAGTACTTGGAGTTTAAACATGGCCCTCCTGTCCCCGCTGGCCACCCACTGGTCCCTTTGCGCCCCCCCCACCTCTCCTGCCTCCGTTCAGCGTTGTGGTCACTAACAGTCTTACAGTGGGGCTGCGTTCATGCCCTGGTCTCTTCAACGTGAGCTAAGAACCATAGGGACCGAAGTTTTTTTTGTTTTTTTTTTAAAGGGACAAGTCTTTAAAAATACAAGCTTTTACCTGAAATTTTCTGATGCAATACTGAAATAGGCTTTGAATAAATTTGCTACTCTGTCCACTAAAAATACATCCCCTTAACTGGTCTGCCGGTGTGTTCGCCGCGCGCGGGGGAACCGTGGCGTCGGCGCGCCGCCGCTTTCGCACGCCGTGGCTGTGTGGGCCCGCGCACGTCCTGTTCTCCCGGCTCTGACAGCTCCAGAACGCCGTATGGGTCCTGCTGGGCCGCGGGCTGTTCTTCCTGCGGCTCTGGTCAGGAGGCTCGGCACAGAGCACAACAAACCCTGCAGGAATCTGGACCGGCGCAAGCCATTACGTCCTTGGAATTATTTTAAGGTGCATGTGTAAATGACCGGGCCCTGGTTAAACACCACTGATAATTATCATTACGGTGGTCAAAACAACATCGAGTGTCCTGCAGATGCTGTGTGTTTGTGATATGATTAAAAAACAAGCTTTCTTAGAGGGTCTGGCTGATATTTCTCGGCTCGTCTTGTATCCGATAGACTTATGATTACCCATAGGATCAAATATAGCAACTATTAATGCTACTATTTTATATTAAATCATTTGATTCCTATTATCTATGAACAAGAATACACAATCTGCCCAATTATGGATTCTTAAACTATCAGCATCCGTCACGCTTTCATGCTACATATTTATCTCCCAAGTTCTCTGTCCAAGTTAACCTGTTTTACTGGTTATCAACCTGGTACTTATTCCTTCAAGATTTTGATTCTTGCCCTAATTTTTGCACTGAATTTCACAGATTCAGATCACAGAGTCCCACTTTTCTCTATGTGAGGATAGTAGCCTATTCTTCATCTTCACCATTTTTAATTTAATCTCCTCACTTCATCATTTTAATGGTGGAAGGAGGAGCCGCGTATCCCGGTTCTGTTTCTTAGACTTTGTTGTTTCTTTTAAGATACTTGGGCCTCAAGATACACTCCGTTTACCCGTAAAATTCATATTCTCTATTTATCCAAAATAAAATCAAATAAAGGAATCTCTGATCCATTTAACCATTAAAAAAAACTTTTTATATATTAACTAACCTAGGATTTGTCTGAATCATGGAGTTCACATGGAGAGGCGTAGCAGATATTTTATTAAAAATCCATAAATAAGTGCCGATAAGATTATCTGTGCAGTTAGTCTGCGGTCTATGCTACCATTCGACGGGCCAATACAGCGCAGAAGCAGTTTATTTCGAGCTGTCTTTGAGATAGAGGGAACCATATGTGTAAAGCACATTGTATTTTCATTCACTAGTTATATAACCTGTTTTAGCTCCTGAGAGAACTTATTTTTATCCAAAGTGACTTACACAGTATGCTACACATTATGTCGGTGGGTATTTTTGCTGTGACCGCATGCTTGGTGCAACAGCAAGATCCCACAGGGGGCTTTAACGAGTCTCACAAGTTTAGCAAATACTTCCTGATTTCTAATTAAAATCTCCTCTTGAATGTCCATTTCTCCGCTGGTATGTTGACTGATTTAATCTTGCCATGTGCTGACAAGCGGCGTAACATCAAGGCATGTTGTTCTGCTGTAAACAAACAAAACTCTAAACAAACAGACAGACGTCACAATCCGCCCTAGACGACGTCGAAAATACAGGGAGACTGTCCGCGGCGTGAGCCCTGCCCCTTCACACGCTGTGGCTTAATGCGAATGCATCGCACAAGACAGCTCCACATAGCGGACGATTATTCGCGATGCAAAAAGAGGAAAACATGAAAGCAACTGCAGCTCCAAGCAAGGTTTCGTAGGAGTACCGCGGACCATTCTCCACGAAGAAGGACCGGGCAGAGACGCGGGAGATGCCGTTTTGTAATAGGCTGATCGTCCCCAAACATGTCTGCAGAAGTGAAGATAGGAGAGATGGAGAGATCTTCGCGGATCTGGTGGATGTGTGCAGCTTTACTTTGTGCAACCTGCTCCGACAGCTTTCGGATTTATCCCGGCTCTCGGTCAGCATCCTGGAGGATCTGGAGGGGGAACTTCTGTCCATCTGTCAGAGATCGAGGACGCTGGAGAGCAAAGTTATCAGTCTGCAGAAGCACGTTTCGGCTTTCGTTACCCGGCCACCGTTAAATAGTAAGCACTTTTTTGGGGGGATCAGCCGTAGGGATCGAAAATGGTTTAGATTGTGGGAGTCAGTACAGGTGCTTGGTAACCCGTATCGTTGCTTAAATTACTGTACTTGAGTTGTATGAGTATAATCTTCGGCACTGTAGTAGGTGCAAACATCGCACAAACGCAAAACCTGCATCTTATGGTTTATTGAAATGCTTTTATACATTAATTACATATTCACCCGCCAAGTTCAACGTGTTGAATGGCTTTAGTGAAGTGTCAGATAAAACAATTATTTGCACGTGCGTAACATCAATGCATTGTTTTCCTTGCAATAAATGTGAGACACCCAGTAGGACTGGATGGTTTAACTGTAACTAATGTATTTAATATTCAAACTGTAATCTTAATTCTAATTCAATTTTAATGCACGATTTCGTTTCCATTGGTGCTTGTTCTTCGATGAAACATAAAGGTGGTTTTCCCAAAATAGAAATAAATGTCACGCATGCGTTTCGTTCAAATTAAAACATACCTAAAAATCTGCAAAACGCAGACATGGGATAGTATCAGCTTTCTTTATAATAATAAACATTAATTACGATTTTGATGATGCTGTTCTGAAATAAGTGATATATTTGTGTTCATCAGTGTCTAACTTCTCTGAGTCATGCTGTAGGACCACTGTCAAGTGGCTGCGTCGTGTTTGGTATTGCGTAGGCGTTGCATAATGAAAACTAATACGCAAACTAATTTTTAAAGATTAGTATAGGTTCAGTTAAATAACTGAGCCAGATGTATTGCTATAACTTGCTTTAGTAAATTTGTCCAAATCATACAAGAGACAAAATGTGCCTTAAGATTAATTCCGATAAAGTAATTTAAACATTTTACTGCCGGTAATCCATTTAATAAAATCATAGCCTATGTACTTTGTGCAATCTTATTAAGAGCTAAAAAAACATTTAAGAGCTATCGTGTCCGTACATGCATTTTTGAAAAATATTATAATTGTTACAGTAAATCCTAGTCGGAATTTGATCAGAAACCATCAGTCCTGATGAAATGAGCTCATTTGGACCAAAAACTGCGGAGTGTAAAAAGCGAATCTGTGCGTAATGTGTCCTCGCGGAGGACGGGGGTGGGAGGCGCCTGGCAGGCTGCTGCTAGCAGAGGTACAGCTTTAGCCGGAGTCGAATGGGGTCCCTCCCGGATTAGGATGGGAGGGCGGATCATGGGAGTCGGGATCAGAGCCGCACTTCTGTCTGTCTGATTAGTCTGCCTGTCTGTGGCAGTGATCGGTATTAGCGTTGTGCTTTTGGTCTATTTTGCAGCCTGAAATGTCACTTGTATTTAAACAGAATATGTAAGGATTTTATTATTGTTACCCCAGTTTGAGTGGCTCAGTGGGTATCTTAGCCGCAGCATTGGTGCTGGACTCCTGCCACCGATCTGTGTGGCGCTTGCACGTTGGCCTGGTGTCACGCGACTTTCCTCTTGGTACGTCATCTCTGCCCGTGTGGGTACCCTTTGACGGACTGGCATCCTGTCCAGGGTGTACCCCTGCCTTGTGCCAGGCCAACCGACATTGCATACTTTACGTGTTACAGGGTTATTCGATTATTCGATTAAAGAACTTTAAAAATGAAGGATAACTGGTTTTGAAAGATGGGCCGCTGTTGCAGGGATCGGGACCTGCATTGTAAGATAAAGCAAAGTGTGGCAGAGTGAGTCTCGGTCAGCATTACGGCCTGACTTTGATTTAATCCTGTACACTTTTCACACTTTTCACACTGTGTGGCCGGCATGGTGCGAGGCCACGTTTGAGTCAGCCAAAAGCCCCCCGCCGAAACTGGTGGAAGGAAAGCTCTTTGGCCAAATTCTGGAGGTGTTTTATACTGGAGGTTTTCACTTTCACCTTTCTTTCATTTCAGTGCTAAAGATAAAGAGCATGTTAGGTCCGCCGTCACTATTCGCCTGATGTTTACACTGATAACAGGAAGTATTCGGCACCTCATCTGCTTTCTGTCGATTGACGGAAACGCCATGGACGGGAGGTGCTGCCGTTACCAGGACAGCCCATTTCGCCTTCCCGGGGCTGGGGCGATCTGGAGGGGGGCGAGCCTGAGATTTTACATGGGTCTCATTCACGATGTCGGTGACGGGGAGTCAGTGCGTGGGGCGGAGCGCAGTTAGCGAAGCGGGGGAGGTGTCGCTCACACTTAGCGCACACTTACTGCACAAGCCTGTTTGCTATGAGTGTGATGCGTTTGTTTATGTTTAATTGCTGGGCTTTCTGCTGGAGGACCGACGAGACGAAACGGGCCCGTGTCTGAGCTATTATATCAGCAACGTAGTGATTTTATCATATTTCACCATATTTAAAAGGTAGAGGAGAAGACATCAGAAACTCATTCGGCATTTATTAGCTTTAGCGTGGTGTCCAAAAAGAACATGTGGAATGTGGATTTTATTTCTTGCACTTTTATTGGCAATAAAAAAATTTGGAAAGAAATTTGAAAAAGTATATAATTTTTATGATGCCTTTCTGAACTGTCCTACTGGGTGGGTAATCCATGTTTCCCTCTGCCTGCCAGTACGGGACCCCAATGGGGCTCTCAACCCCTCCGAGACCCTGGTATGAACGGGGGGTATCTGAGAGCCTGGAGCTCCACCTGTACCCTCCTCTTCATTCAAGCGTCCATCACCATAGCGACCGTGTGCCTAGGAGGTATGGCACAGATGTGGGTGCTGATCACCTTCTGAAATACTGAACGAGACTCATCCTACTCCCAGTCCTCTGTTCCTTGTTCTGTGTGGGCATCCGCCGTCAATAAACTCTCCCCAACCGCAGGTCAGAATAGGTTTCAGGAGACGCCATCTTTTCTATAAAGATGATTTTCAGCAATTCTGATGCAGTTACAGTTTAAGATCAACAAACTGGCCCATTAGCTGGTGCCAGCACACCGGGGAGATCATTCCCAGATGTGTGGTGTTTGAGAGGAAAACATAAAGGGAGTGAGCGGCTGAAAGCAGGCATCTGGCTGATGTGTCACTCGGCAGTACGGGCAGGACTCGCCAGAGCGTGAGAGCCACCGGTGCAGAGTGAGTGAATGAGCAGGCCGGTGACAAACATGCTGAGCTTTAATTTCCCGTCGGCGATGAGAGCGTGATGGTCAGGCCCTCTGCCCTGCTAGCGGCACAGGACCGGGCATGGGCTTCTGTTAACGTGGGCATCGCCAGCGGAGGCCAACAAGTTACTGCTCACTGGCATCATTGTTTGTTTAGCGTGGGAATTGAGTGGCGGTACGCTGTCAGGGATTTGTTTGAACATTTATTCATGGGGGGCACAGTGGTGCAGTGGATAGCACTACTGCTTCATACCTCTGGGACAAGGGTTTGAGTCTCCACCAGGGTTCTATGTGTGTGGAGTTTGCATGTTCTCCCCATGTCATCATGAGATTTCCTCTGGGTACTCCAGTCCCCCCCCCCCCCCCCCAAAAAAAAAAAACATGCTGAGGTTAATTGGAGTTACCAAATTGCCCGTAGGTGTGCCTATGTGACTGAGACTGACTGGTGTGTGAGTGTGACTGAGACTGACTGGTGTGTGAGTGAGACTGACTGGTGTGTGAGTGTGACTGAGACTGACTGGTGTGTGAGTGTGACTGAGACTGACTGGTGTGTGACTGAGACTGACTGGTGTGTGAGTGAGACTGACTGGTGTGTGAGTGTGACAGACTGGTGTGTGGGTGTGACAAACTGGTGTATGGGTGTGCCCTGCAATGGGTTGGTGCCTCATCCTGCATTGTTCGCTGCCTTGTGCCTGTATTCTCTGGGATAGGCTGTAGACCCCCTCCCCAAGACATTCCTGTTCTAAATTGCCCCAACCCCTCCCCTCTCCCCTGTAGGAAAGGGGTACCCCTTTCCCACAATTTTAGGGAGCATCACACAATAGACTGATTAGCCAACAGCTACTTAGTAATTAAACAGCTTTTAAAATCAGGCTTATTATGCAAAGGCTTGCTTGTTAAGGTAATACACAAGAGTATTGTGGTTATCACTCATAATTGATTGAAAAGTATTGATCCACCTATGAAGGTCACTATTAAGCAAGAAAATTGCATATTCAGGAGGTTTAGCTCAGTTGTAATCTCTTCAACACGGCTGTGATATTTAATTGTTTCTCCTAATGAATAAGAGCAAAAATTAAGGTCAGTGTGGTAACAAAATGCTAAATTAATTACAGTTAATGGTCTGATAATGTCCATTATCTAGAGTAGGAGTGGCCAATCTTACCCAGAAAAGGCCATTGGGTCTGCAGGTTTTTGCTGCAACTGCCTAATTAGATTACTAATTAGAGGACTGATTGGCTGAAGAGTCCTCACACCTGGGTTTAAACAGCTGAACTAAAGGTGATCCCAAAAACCTGCAGATACACTGGCCTTTTGGGGACCCTTAGACGGTCCATGTTTTTGCTCCCTCCCAGTGCCCTGCAAAAGCATGGACTGCCAGGCAAGGAGCTGGGAGGGAGCAAAAACATGGACGTCCCTGAGGACTGGGTTGGGAAACACTGTTCTAGGGAAAAATGAGTGAAGTTAAACTCATTTTGACTTCTGGCAAGTAAAGTACAGAACTGTTCTCGGGTAACGTTTTATCGCTGCTCTGAAGCAGCAGCTTTATGTCAATTTACATTCCTTCTAGCTATCTAACTGTGACCTGCAATTTCAAGAGAGTTACAGTCTAAATTTAATCTAACATAGTTAGAATACCTTACATTGAAGCAGGTAATAGAATAATACAATGTAATTAAATGATTTCAGAAATTACGAACACAACACAATATCAGCAGATTTTAACATCCGGTGTAATGAGGGCTAGATTTTAACATAAATCGCTGGTTTGCTCCATTTTCTGGCTTTTTTCCTCCTAAAAAAGTCTGAAATCAGGGCCAGATTCATTTGGCGATGACTGATTTCCCCAACACCATTGACTCGGAGCCCAGCAAAGAAGCCGGGAGAGTA